GATTCCGATGATGACGCTGATTATTCTGTAGACGTGAAGAGAGTTTAATAAGTTGTAATAGAGGGACATAGACAGCTACTACGATCAGGTAGAAAACAAAATTTATTTTTTCTATCACTTTTAGTCAAAGGAGATCAATATGCAATATTTCTAAATATATTTTTTTAGTTTTATATTGCGTATGACTTAATTTTTTAAATACGCTTGTATCCAGCTCAAATAACATACATATTGCATAAGATATCTAAAAGACGTCTTTTAGACATCTTATAAACATAAGACATTTAAAAAAAAATTTTTAATATGTATTTTATACAACATAAACATTATCTAAGAGATTATCGCCGTATTCAAATCGATTTATTAAAATATCAACGTTTTTCACAAAGAAACTACTATTATAACTTTGCCTATTACGGCTAAGCCAAGTGCAGCAACACTATCGTGTTCCTTTACGCGAGAGTTGTGGAATTACAGTTCACTTTATCAATGCAAAGAACACTCTAATACAAAAAAACATAATTGTGTTGGAAACGGTCCATTTCCTATTCTTGTTTGTGTTGAATTTTTTAACATATTTGAATGTAATGTGCAGATTATGTTAAGGATTTTGTGTTAAATTGATATTCAACGTTACTTGGTGTCAAAATAATATAATTTATGAATAAGTGAACAAGTAACGTAAAATAATGTGTTCTAAAACATAAATTTTAAGATAAATTAATGAAATATGTGTTAATTTAACATATTATAAATGTGAATTATACTAAAAATAAATATCTCCACAGTTTGTTTACAAACTGTGTCAGCAATATCTTTTTGTAATAATTTGTTTACAAGTTATCTGTGTTTTCTAATATCTATATTCATCTTATTATGTTAAAAAACACAAAAATTTGAGTGTACCGTTTGGGACATATGAAATGAATTATATTTAACACAAATTTTCCAATAGTGTAATAATACTATGGATTTGAACACTGAAATAACCGCTTGTACCTATACTATTATTTTTCACACAATATTAATGTAGGCAATATAAATTTAGAAATATAGTTATAAACCATTTAATTTACAATAAAGTCATAATTACATAACATGTGAATATAATCGCCTAAAATATATCATCCAATAAAAGTAAAATGTAATTAACAATATTTTAAATATTAAATGTTCTTATTTAAAAGTTATTCTCTTATTTTTCAGATAACCATGATAAAACATAATGTCTTGCTCCTTCTAATAGAGATTTTATTGCTTATATTAAAAATTCTATATTATATTTGCGAAGATATATATAAATTAATTATCCCAACAAAGAAAAAGAGCGTAGCTGGTGAAATCGTTTTGGTGTGTATAAAAATCTTAATATGTGCAGTTATATAAAAAATATTAGATAATCGGATTCTATATGACTTACTCATAGCCGTTATTACACTAGAGGTTATCACACTTCCTGGTTATGGTTGTTGATTGTCGGTTCTATTTTCGTCAATCGCGTTGCAGTTAATAACCCGCATTTGCTGCATCATAATTGGTTAAAATAGAACCATCAACCGTAACCGGCCATCTGTAGTGTGATTACGGCCTATATGACTTACTAAATTTGTAATTTTTTCTAATTTTTGTAATTTTTTTTAATTTTTTTAAATATTTACTTAAGTATAATGAAAATTTTAAGAAAAGTGCGTAGCACTTAGGTCATATTGAGTACACGATTAATTTGATTTACTAATCCTATTTGTTAAATTTACTTGTAATTATATGTATAATAATCTTTTTTATTACAATAAATAAATATTACTTTAAACGTTACATAAGCACAGATAAAAAGATGTATTCATCTAGACGTATTCGTCTAAACTTGTTTTATTTGATGAGTTATTTCTTTTTATCGCATTTTCTTGAGCAACAGTTTGTTATTTCCTTTTACAGTACAACATGAAAATTTAATATTATGCTATTTTAAACAAAAACTTGTAAAGTGTAATTTATAAAATTATAATTTATATTGTATTTTATATTGTATTTTAAGTGTATATATATATATATATTACAGATAACAGGTGCAGGTCATGGTATTGGAAAGGAATTAGCGATTGGTTATGCTTCATTAGGAGCAACGGTGGTATGTTGGGACATCAATGAAAAAACTAACAATAAAACAGTGGAAGATATTAAAAAAATGAGAAAATATTCTGTGTATGCATATGGGTAAGTTTGTATATAACAATACTCGGAATGTAGAAACTATTTGAATTCATACGTAAATATCTGTTCTATTCATGAATATATGTAACCGCCCATTAAATTATCTAATTAAAATTCTAAATAAAATCTTTATATTTTACAGATGTAATGTAGCAGATAAGGAAGAAGTTTTTAGAGTAGCCAAAAAAGTAAAAGAAGAAGTAGGTGACGTTACTACCTTGATTAATAATGCTGGTATAGCGTTTGTTAAATCATTTCTGAATCAAAGTCCTGATGAAATAGCCCGAGTCATAGATGTCAACATAACAGCGCATTATTGGGTAAATATATTCAAGATATCAAAATTATTATTTGCGTTCTTCGATATTGTGGAAGTCAGATGTTCGCTACTTTTGCAAATTTGTTTCAAAAAATTAAAAAAAAAAACCATTATGCGATGTGGATTACCATCTACTTGCGTTTTCTCTCTTTTTTATTAATGGACTCTCAACATTTTTATCGATATTGATAAGGTACATAATTATATTATATATGTTATTAATTCGCATGTATCAAGTATTAATGTTTTGTTCACGGTCACGTTTCTAGAATGTTTTTCTGACTACTTTGAATTCTAATATAACTGACTCGCAAGGCACTACACGATATGAAGAATGTAATGCCATAGACATTTTTATATTACCGCAACATTGAAAATGACTCGAGCGGTGTCGAAACGTTTATTTTGTCGTTTTATAATTTATGATTGAATTTTAATTTAATTAAAGTTTCTTGCTACATTACTGGCTCTTTGCCCTTATTTTGCATTGTTTCATACTTATAGAGCCTTATTGTTATTTATTAATTAAAATTATAAATTACAAGAGATAATTACTGTCCC